TGATGCTTGCTTTCCTTAAAAACCTTCTCAGCTGACCTCCCCGATTTCAGACTCTTCATTCACCAATTCACCCTTTTTCCGCATCCCTTTCATCTTCTAATGCTCAAACCGTGAATATACTCATCAGATCTCAATATCCTTGCTTTCAATATCCTCCATTAATTCGGCTTTTCTAAGTTTTCTAACCAGGCCCTAAAAATGAGGGGAGGGATTAGAAGGAAAAACTGAGAAAATAACTTACTCAAGGTCACAGGGCTATTGAGGGCAGAGGCAGGATTTGAACCCAGGTCCATCTGACCCCAAAGCCATTCTGTCATAACATTTTTGTTTAATACATTGTAGACTAAGGATGCAGGCTGTAGGACTTTGTTAAGATTTGGGAAACTTTAAAGTATTATATTGTTAATGAGACTTAACTCTTCCAAGGGTCACAGGAATATTAATAAAATAATATACCAGTATAAAGGATATACAGTTTTATGACTGTTTTGAGCCAGTTAGTCCTTAAATCTTCACCTTGACTTAATTTTGCATGAAAGGAAAAGGGAACAGTAGGCACACAGCCTAAAAAGTGATCCTGAGATTTAACAAAATGGTACCATTATCCAGCTAAAGCCCACAAATACCTGCTTTGGAGGAAGTCCGTCCTGAGAAACAGGATCAAGAGTCATAAATTTTTTATCCCTAACGATACTGAGAACATCATAGAGAACGCACATCTCTGTCAGGGCACCTCTCAAATTGTTCCTCACTGAGTCCCAAGGCCAAAGGGAAGGCTGAAATTTTACCAACCCTGAAAAGAAAAAGAAAAAAAGAAACACACGAATATTAGTTATAATGAATAGAAGCCAGGAAGCCCAGTCAGAGGTTTTAAAGTTCTAAAAGAAGAAATAATAAATTTTATTTCAAAATTGTATCCTCTTTTATCCTATGCTCTCTACCCTTTCATGAATCTTTAACATTTAAGTTAGTATTCCTACAATAGCAAAACAAATTATACCTAATATCCATAGGTTAAATCTAACATTACAACATGATAGATAGGCATTCAGATATCTTTATAAATTTATTCAGGCCTTTTAAATAACCTTTCTTCCAGCTTTTAAAATGTGAATAAGGAATTATAGAGAATTTCCAAAATACAGGAAAATAAAAAATAAAAATGGCCTATAATTGTAGCATTCAGATATTATGCACTATTACCATATCTTCCAACTTCTTAATCATTTTTAAAATTAAACTTCATGAACACATGCTTATTGTATGCAGTTCAAACAACAGACAGTTACAGTGTAAAAAGTGAAAGTTTTCCTTTATTCCCCACCCTAATTTTCTCCCTCCCTGAAAGGTAATCATTATTAGCAGTTGGGATGTACCGGTCCACATGTTTTTCTGTGTATTTATATACATACTAGTGACCTGGTGCATGGGTTCCTGCACATTGAAAGGAAATTAATTAGAAGGTGGCCGGGGGTGGGAATGGGAGAGGTGGACCCAACACGCCCTGGAGCCAACCTCCTGCGGTCCCTCTCCGGCATCTGAGGAGTGAGTGGGGTCCCTCGGCCTGGCTGGCAGGGATCCGGCCGAAACCGGCTCTCAACATCCCCCAAAGAGTCCTGGAGTGCAAGAGGGCACTCTGCAAAGTTACTGCCGCACAGGGTGTGGAAAGCAAACACAAGTGTGCAGTGAACCAGATTTGGGCCGTCAGTGCCCCAGCAACAATATAAGCCAAGGCTGAAGGCAGAGTCACACAGCGCCACAAGGAATCTCCAGCTCCTTCCTCTCTGGTTTCGGGGTGCGTCACCCGAGAACCGCTGCTGCCAAGTCACCGCAGCTTGGCAGCTCCTGCGTTGAGCATCTGCCTCCTGGTGGTCAGTGCGCGTCATAGTGACCAGTTGGATGGTAGGAGGGACACTTAGCATATTAGCCTTTTCTATATATAGATACTCCTATATTTCTATTACTTGCTTCCCCCGCCCCACCCCTATTTATTTGTTTTAGAGACACTTCCATATCAGCACATACAGATTTACTTCATTCATTTATCACAGCATGATACTCTAAAGGATGGCTATACAATAAGTTTAACCATTCCTATTTAATGGACAGGTAGATTAGATCCAACAATGCTAGCAGCGGTAAACATCTTGAATACACATTTGTGTACATGTACTATGTTTTATGTAGGTTAAATTTTAGCCGAAATATTAGTGGGTCAAAAGAGATGCACATTTAAAAATTCTGACACATAACAATCATCAGAGAAACGCAAATTAAAACCACAATGAGAGCCCTGGACAGTTTTGCTCAGTGGATAGAGCATTGGCCTGTGGACTGAAGGGTCCCGGGTTCAATTCCAGGTCAAAGTTTGTAGGTTTGATCCCTGGCCCTGGTCGGGGCATGAGCAGAAGGCAACCAATGGATGTGTCTCTCTTATATTGATGTTTCTCTCTCTCTGACTCTTCCCCTCCCTTCCACTTGCTCTAAAAATCAATGGGAAAAATATCCTCAGGTGAGGATTGACAAAACAAACAAACAAACAAACAAAAACCCACAATGAACTATCACCTCATACCTATCAGAATGGCTATCATCAAAAAAATCAACAAACAAGTGCTGGTGAGGATGTGGAGAAAAGGGAACATTAGTTTAATACTGGTGGGAATGCAGACTGGTGCAGCCATTACAGAAAACAGTATGGAGTTTCCTCAAAAAAAAATTAAAAATGGAACTTCTGTTTGACCCAGCGATCCCACTTCTGGGAATACATCCTAAAAACCCCAAAACACCAATCAGAAAGAATATATGCACCTTATATTCATAGCAGCATTATTTACAATAGCTAAGATTTGGAAACAGCCGAAGTGCCCATCAGTAGATGAAAGGGTAGAAAAGCTGTAGGACATTTACACTATGGAATAATATTCAGCTGTAAAACAGAGGGATCTCTTATCCTTTGGGACAGCATGGATGGACCTGGAAAATATTATGCTAATAAGCCAAAGTGAGAAAGAGAATATCACATGAACTCACTTATTTGTGGAATCTAATGAACAAAATGAATTGAGTAGGAACCCGAAGCAGGGAGACATGGAACACACTGACATACCTGGATGTGGGGTTGGGGGATGGGAAGAGATAAACCAAAGAACTTATATACATATATGCATAGTCCATGGACATGGCCAATAGGGTGGTGAAGATGGGGGGGGCGGGGGAGATGAGTGAGGGTTGGGAGAGGGAGATAGCGGAGTAAATGGGAGATATCTGTAATACTATCAACAATAAAAATACATTAAAAAATAAAATAAGAAAGAATTATTTTTAAAAATTCTGATACATATAGAACCGCCAAATTGTTTCCCCAAAAGGCTCTATCAATTCACATTCCAAACCCTGGATATTAACAATCTTTTAAATTTCTGCTAATCTTATGCATGAAAATAGTATCTTAATGATGTTTTAACTTGCCTCTCCCTACTAGAGAGATCTGAGGTCTTTCCTCTGTGAGTTGACTGTTCATATCTTTGGCTTATTTTTCCCGTGACTTGTCTTTTCCTTTGCAGGTTGAAGGGACTCTGAATATGAGGGATATTAACCACTGGGTGCCAATATTTTTCCCAGTCCGTCACCTATCTTTTCACGTTATGACTACTCCTGTTGCCTACAACTATAACAAGAATTGTGGATATTTTTATCCTTGACAAGAATGAGAACCCCAAAACACTCATATTTTTCCTATAATTCTCTAGCTGGCCTCCCTCCTTCCAGTTTTGTTTTCCATTTACTACATAGCATCCTGAGTAATCTTTTTAAACAAAATCATCTGTCTACTTAAAATCCTTCCAAAGCTTCCATTTTGTCCTTCTGATAAAAGCCAAATGCTTATCCTGGCCGACTAGACTTGGCCGCTGTCTACCACTTACACCTTTATCTCATGCCCCAATCAATACCGGTGTTACTATCAACATTCACCCTGCACAAAGAAACATCTTAACCAGAGTGTGCCAAGTGACAGCAGCTCGATTAAAAACGTAAACACTGCACCAGTAACAGGTCTCAAACGCTCCAACTCAAGGAAACTTGCAGAAAGATACGGAGTACTGATAGTAAAACAAAACCCTAAATTGTCCAGCTATTAAAAAAAAAAAAAAAAAAAAAGAGCCCTGGCTGGGGCTCAGTGGTTAGAGCATCCGCCTGTGGACTGAAGGGTCGCGGGTTCGATTCCGGTCAAGGGCAGGCGCCTCGGTTGCAGGCTCAATCCTGGGGCGCCTGCGGGAGGCAACCAATTGATTGTCTCTCTCTCACATCGATGTTTCTCTCTGTGTGTCTCTCCCTCTCCTTTCCAGTCTCTAAAAATCCATGGATAAAAAATCCTCGGGTGAGGATTAGCAAAAACAAAACAAAAAAGAGCACAGTGACTGTTCTACGCGGGCGTTACTTTCATACAAACCTCTGACTTTCACAATGACACCCAGCATCTCACGAAGCACAGAAGAGGCAGGGTGGCATTCCCCGGGCGGGGAGCAGGACGCCCGGACAGACCGGCGGACGCGAGCGGCAGCCCCGGGCCTTACCTTCCTCGTCGTCCTGGTCCGCGCTGGCCCCGGCGCCCGCCCAGTCCTGCGCATCGCCCTCGGCGCCCCCGGCCTCCTCCTCCTCGGAGCCCGAGCCCTGGCTGAAGTCGATCCGCTGCGCCAGACGCGCCAGGTTCTGGGACATGGACAGCGGCTGCAGGTAGGTCTCCGTGCCATCCAGGCCCACCTCCTGGACCTGCTTCTCGCAGGCCGACTCGATGCTGATCCGCACAGCGCGCACCCCGGACATGCTGGCGGCTGGGGACGCGGCGGGAGGACCACCGCGCGAGCCAGAAGCCGAGCGAGGCAGCCCGAGCGCCTCCGCGGGGAGGCGGCCAGCTGGGGACCGGCGCCCCTGCGGGCTGTCGGGAAACCGGCCGCCGCTCCTCCGCCGGAAACAAAGCTGAGAGCACGGCCACCTTCCCAGAATGCACTGCAGGACCCTCTCCGCTACGAGTCTCCGGGAACGAAATCGACGAGGCGCGGGCTCCAGGGGCTTCCGGGCAAGAACTTCCGGTTAGATTCCCGCGCGGCGGCGGGAAGGTTTGATTGCTGGGGGCGTGGAGCGCAGCGGGAGCTGGGGACCCCCAGTGCAGAGAGCGTAGAGAGGCTGGGGCCCGGTGTTGGTCTGCGTGTTAAGTTTTACGTGTTTGAAAGTCGTGGAGGAAGGAGAGCTGGAGAAGGCCGGAAAGAGGTAGGGAAGAAAATGAATGGCCCCCCGGGGCTTCCCATTAGAATTCCCCTGGGGATGCTGAGAGTTAACCGCTTACACCTGGAGTAGAAACGTGCCTGGAGAGTTACAAAATAGGCCGCAGTTTGAGAGGGGGAAATAATTGTGCTTATTCCTAGTTAAAATTATCCTTCATAAGTTATTCGCTGCTTTCCCGTTAGCTGTAGATTTCATGAGGGCGACTGTCTTCCACAAGCCTGATAGACACAGGCATGTATGAGCTTAATAAATATTTATGTTATGCCTGAGTGACTGGGGATAAGTAATGTTTATAAGTTAAGAAGTAGTGCCCTGACCCATTTGGCTCAGTGGATAGAGCGGCGGCCTGCGGACTGAAAGGTCCCAGGTTCGATTCCGGCCAAGGGCAAGTACCTTAGTTGCGGGCATATCCCCAGTAGGAGATGTGCAGGAGGCAGCTGATCGATGTTTCTCTCTCATCGATGTTTCTAACTCTCTATCTCTCTCCCTTCCTCTCTGTAAAAAATCAATAAAATATATTTTAAAAAAAAAAGAAACACAGACGAGAGAGAAACATCGATCAGCTGCCTCCTGCACATCTCCTACTGGGGATATGCCCGCAACTAAGGTACTTGCCCTTGGCCGGAATCGAACCTGGGACCTTTCAGTCCGCAGGCCGCCGCTCTATCCACTGAGCCAAACCGGTTTTAGCTCATCTGTGTTTCTAACTCTGTCTCCCTTTCCCTTCCTCTCTGTATAAAATCAATAAAATATATTTAAAAAAAAAAAAGAAGTAGTGGTAGCCCGGCCGGTGTTGCTCAGTGGTTGAGCATCAACCTATGAACCAGGAGGTCACGGATTCGGGTCAGGGTGCATGCCCGGGTTGTGGGCTTGATCCCCAGTAAGGGGCGTGCAGGAGGCAGCCAAGCCATGATTTTTTCACGTCATTGATGTTCCTATCTCTCCCTCTCCCTTCCTCTCTGAAAAAAAAAAAAAAATATATATATATATATATATATATATATATATTTTTTTTTTTTTTAAAGAAGCAATGGTATAACTTCAGTCTCTGAGTACCTCCCCCCCCCCCCAAAAAAAAGTATTGCATTAGTAATAATTCCACCGGGGGAAACATGGATTATTTCCTATTGCAAAACTTTACTTAATTTAAGGAATTATATATACAACTTAAGAATCTTTTCCAGTTTTATTCTGACCAAATATCCAAGTTTTTTTTAACAACTGTATAGAATTATTCAGGAAAAATAAGGATACCTGGTGTTAATCTCTACCAGAACAGAATATACGTGACAGGGTGTGTTGGGGGAGGGGGGTTGAATTTTCAAGAGTAGCCTATTTTTGGCAAGCACAGTCATGTTTAAGATCTAGTGTACTTGACTATGCCAAAATTTGTAAACAGTTTGAATACTTCATTTTCAATTTAATATTTTTCATGGACTCTAGTTGTATTAGTTACTGCGCCTTTAAACATATTTCTCATTTCATCTTTATAAGGTGCTCATACTTCTACAGTTTGGCTGGAGCATTGCAATCCCAGCAGGGCTTATTCACACACTTGAGGGCCAGATGACCTATCATGGGCTCAGCTGCTTGATTCTATTTTGAGCTATAGGTTTATAGTCACTCAGATGACTCTGTACCATGCATCTCTCTTCTTCTTATATTAGCAGGCTGGTCAGAGTATATTCTTTTTATGGCAATGGCAGAGGTACAAGAGATAAGCCTTCCCTGGCTGGTGTGGCTCAGTTGGTTCTGTGTCGTCCCCTGCTGGTTTGATATCCAGTCAAGGCACATGCCCGGGTTGTGGGCTCCACCCCCAATAGGGGGCATGCAGGAGGCAGCTGATGGATGTTTCTCTCTCATCGATGTTACTCTCTCTCATCTTCTCTCTGAAATCAATAAAAACATTTTAAATAGAGGCAAGCCTTGCCTGCATTACATGCCAACATCCACAAGTTCCAAGGCCAAGCCCAAAAGTCAAGGGTGGGACATGGGAATACACTGAGCTTTCTTACTTGGGGAAACTGTAGAGTAGCATGGAAAGGGGTGTGGATGAAGGGAGGACCAGAGCCAACAATCTGTCATACATGCAAAATAATCTAGTTACATTCCCGTCTCATACCATAAATAAAAATAAACTCTAAATGTTTTCAAGATCTAAGTGAAAAAAGAGTGAAGTCTTCTGTAGACTCAGATACATGTGAGAATGCTACAGGCAGATCATTTACCTAAAGAAACAGCAGTTATACACTGCAAGGGACACCAAAAAGGTCATGACGAAATAACTCAAGGAAACAAATATGCTGATAAAGCTGCAAAAGCAGCCACCACGTCTATGGATATATAATTAGGAGCATTAATTTCACCCTTACCTACAGAATTGCCAATCCCTAAATATACCCAAAAAGAAATAGAATGGGCATCGCAACACAGGCACATCAAAAGACCAATGGGATGGTTCAAATCAGAGGGAGTCCATGTCCTCCTGCCCTCCATGACTCTTGTCACCCGGGGGGAGAGAATATGGTCCTGATATGCAAAAAACTTTTTGCCAGTAAGGGCTTACACAAAACGATTTGACAGGTCTGCATTATGTGCCTAAAATAACCCCCAATGATCTCAATCTCCACCTGTACTAGTCCAACTTATACAGAGAAGGAGCAACTATCCAGAGCAAGATTGGCAAATAGATTTTACTCAACTATCTCCATGTCAAGACTATAAATGCCTACTAATCTTCATAGATATTTTCACTGGGTGGATTGAGACCTATCCCACCAGGACTGAGAAAGCACAAGAGGTAGCAGAAATACTCTTAAAAGAAGAAAATACAATTCCTCAATTTGGACTCCCTCAGTTTCTGCAAAGTGATAATGAACCTGGATTTACTTTGCAGGTCACATGATTAGTTAGCAAAGCCCTAGGAATAAAATAGCATCTTCACTCTGCTTGGAGGCCACAGTCCTCCAGGAAGGTAGAAAGGCAAATCAAACAATAAAGAAAACTCTTGGCAAACTTTGCCAAGAAACTGCCCTTAAATGTTTAGATTTACTACCTATAGCCCTCCTCCAAATTGAAACTGTCCCCACAACTCAATTACAGTTAAGCACCTTTGGATCATGACATGGACGGCCATTTCTATACTCTACTTATAACAGATCCTGAATCCACCAAACTCCTACCATATGTCACCTCCATAGCTAAGTTTCAACAAGCAATATAATATTTTGGATAAAGAAGAACTCCAGCCGAAGCCGGTTTGGCTCAGTGGATGGAGCGTCGGCCTGCGGACTGAAGGGTCCCAGGTTCGATTCCAGTCAAGGGCATGTACCTGGGTTGCGGGCACATCCCCAGTGGGAGATGTGCAGGAGGCAGCTGATCGATGTTTCTAACTCTATCTCTCTCCCTTCCTCTCTGTAAAAAATCAATAAAATATATTTAAAAAAAAAAAAAAAGAACTCCAGGTTCTGAACAGAACTCCAGGGGCTCCCAATCTTTATATCTGCCAGGATCACAGATATACATTAAAACCTGGAAAGAAGGAATCCAGGATTGCAATTAACACCCCTATGGGAAGGGCCTTTTACTGTCCTGTTCTCCACTTCCACAGCAGTCAACGTTGCTGTCATCTCAAGTTGGATACATCACATATGAGTAAAGCTTATTACAACTCTACTAACCACAAGTAAAGCCTTTTGCAACTCTACTAACCCATCTGAGCCTGAGAAATCAAGCAAGACGTGGGAATGCGAACCAATTGAAAACTTTGTTCAAGAAAAAGACAACCCTCAGATAAGTTTACTTCTCAATTTTTGTTATTATTTATAAATTTTTTAATATTCTTTTGGTTTGGCCTTCTACTCCTCTGCTGTCTTACAATTCCTCCATCCTCCCTGTAAAAACCCTTCTCAGAATTACTCTTTATTAGATCAGTAATCCTTTCTAAAACTCTTCTCGGCTGCTTACTTATTTGTGCACTACCCGCCACTCCATTCAAGGCTTGCTTAGACCTTTTCTACAGTTTTACACAATGAATAATTTCCTTCTATTCCTATTCCTGGCTTCACAAGTCCCTTTAGTACTAGGCACAATAAACACCGTTCTAAAACCAGAACCACAACCATGGGACCAAAACTCACTAATTAGGATTACCAAGGCTATAGCGTCGGGGAACATCACTAATTGCTGGGTCTGTCACAAGCACCCACAAGCTATAGGCCCCACACAATATTTAGCTAAGCCAGAGAACAAATTCGGTAATGAAACCTGGCGCTCAGAGCTAGCGTATATTTCCAAACCAAGTACATATGCCACCCTTTTCATTCTGGTTAACATAACTACCTCTCCATCTATCTGCCTATATACTGCAACATCGAAACATAAGCCTGCTCGTCCGGGAAAAGAGTTTCCTGTCTGCAACAAAACTAAGACTGCTCTATGCAAACTTAGAGCCTTATATTATTCCATGTTGTGGCCAGCGAATATTTCCTCATGTAGCACCATTGTTCCTATGGTTTTAACTAGCACCTCCAACACAGTCTGTGCTCCTGAGGGAATGGTTTACATATGCGCATATTCCATGAATAGGACGGCAGGCATTGGTTCAGTACACACCACCCCCACGGGATACATGGCCACTTCATGCCTAAATCCCTATCTCATTTATGGAATGTGCACCTTAGGATATTTAACTCCTAGCCTGGCTGTCTACAACGAAACATCAACACCTTCCCAGCATAAGCGGAGACTCCTAGACAACCCCTTAACTTGGAAAAGAAAGTCCCTTACTTCCCTTGTTCCCTGGGCAGGATACATGGAACATGAATTCATCCTTCCTAATCTCACAACTGAATTAGAAAAGCTCTCAAGTGAAACAGGGGGAGCCCTCCATGAACTACAACAGTCCCTCAACTCATTAACAAATATAGGCTTAGACAGTCGTATTGCCCTGGACTATCTTTCAGCTGCAGAAGGAGGAGTCTGTGCTATTCGAAATACTACATGTTGCACCTACATCAATAACTCCGCTAAAGTAGAAACAAGAATACGTGAGATTCTAAACCACGCAACCTGGTTAAAGAATCTAAGAGAATCCTAACTGGCAACCTCACTTGCTTAGAATTGGAAAAATTGGTATGGTCTCTCCTTGGACCCCTTATAATCCCTCTCCTTATCGTACTAGGGATACTACTATTTGGTCCCTGTTCATTTAACCTACTTGTAAAATTTGTCTTTTCCAGATTACAGCAATTCCACCTCAGATAACGTTCATCGGTGTTTTCAACCTTTCCAAACACCCCCGCAGAAATAGCTCAACATCCTGATCAAGCTGGCCAACGGTTCCAAGAACCTTATGCTTTGCCCTGACAGATAGCAAGAGAATGAGACCCAATCCCAACTTCGCCCATTTGTCAGCAGGAAGTAGCCAGATGATTGTCTACGTCCATAATCCCCCAATGAATTGGGTGTCAAACTCTTGAGCGGGGGGAATGTTAGAGTAGGCAGGTAGATAAGAGCAGGGCAAACTGATCAAAGACCATGCTTAAGTAAATGGGGAAGGAGGGACAGAAAGCTAAAAACAGCCATCAAATTTAGACAAAAACAGGAAGGAGGGCACCAAGAGGGCAAATCTTGCAAAAACACCTTCGAACAAATTCCAGCCCCTCAACTAAGGGGTGAATGGTACAATAAGATTAAGGCAGCCGAAACTGGTTTGGCTCAGTGGATAGAGCGTCGGCCTGCAGACTGAAAGGTCCCGGGTTCAATTCCGGTTAAGGGCATGTACCTGGGTTGTGGGCACATCCCCAGTGGGAGATGTGCAGGAGGCAGCTGATCGATGTTTCTCTCTCATCGATGTTTCTAACTCTCTATCCCTCTCCCTTCCTCTCTGTAAAAAATCAATAAAATATATTTAAAAAAAAAAAAGAAGAAGAAGAAGATTAAGGCAGAAAAAGGGAGGGGCAAGCATAAGATAAAAAGCCTGGAACTAGGCCCATTCTGGGGCACTGGAACCTAGCTGGAGTTGCCCATCCAAGAGTCCCTTAGGTGTACTTTCACTTCAAATTAAACTTTGCCTTTTTGCCCTAGCCAGTTTGGCTCAGTGGATAGAGCGCCGGCCTTCGAACTGAAAGATCCCAGGTTCCATTCCAGTCAAGGACACATGCCCGGGTTGTGGGCTTGATCCCCAATGGTGGACTTGCAGGAGGCAGCTGGTCCATGATTCTGTCTCATCATGGATATTTCTTCCTCTCTGAAATCAATAAAAATATATTTTAAACAAACAAAACAAAAAAACTTTGCCTTTTCTATCTTGTGTTGAATTCTTTCCTCTGAGAAGTAAATACCTGATCTCCAGCGCTGCTGACAAGACTAAATCCTGCTTAAAGGGAAGTGTTCCATGAAAAAGACTTGAGGTTTCATGGAGCTCAAATCTTCTGAAGGAAGGAACTGAACTCCCATGTTTCAGGGCTGAGGAGACAGATCTGCCAGGCTCTCAATTCAAACCTCAGAAGAGGCACGTGGAATAACAGACTGTAAGCAGAGGTGGCCTGAGCCTTATTTAAAATGCAACCCAACCCCAACCCAGCTCAATATCTAATTGAATTGAGGTAATCAGTCTCTCCATCTGCCTAACAAAAGAGTGAAAGATACCATCTAGAACACATAATATATAGTATATAATAATAGTAGTAGTAGATAGTAAAGAGGCAGGAAAGAGTGACTGGTAATCAGAAGCAAAAACAAATAATAGGAACACATTCATGTGTGATCAAACCATTCGAAATGGGAGGCAAGGACTATAAAATAATGTGTTAAAGGAAAGAGGAAAATGGATGAAATGATGGGAGTTTGAACAGAAAATTACAATCTATAAAAAAAAATGTGCATCTAGCCTGGCCAGTGTGGTTCAGTGGTTGAGCGTGAACCCTTGAATCAGGTCATGGTTCCATTCCTTTCCATTCCTGGTTGGGGGATGGGGGCCGTGGGAGGCAGCCGATGGATGCTTCTCATTATTTATGTTTCTATCACTCCCTCTCTGAACTCAATAAAAACATCTTTTTAAATGTACATTCTAGGCTAAAAAATGTTGACATTAATAACCCATGGAATAGATTTACTAAGAGATTTGACATAGCAAGAATAGGGTCAGTGAACTCAAAGACTGGTCAATGGAAAAACACAGAACAGAACAGCAAAAGATAATTTGGGATACCCATTCAAAATTCTTATAGACATTAAAAGGCTAATAAGGGAATACTATAAATTCCCTTTCCTGCTTCCTCTGGTCACAAATACCATTCCTGCTTCCTCTGGTCACAAATACCATTTTTTGTTAATTTTAGTCCCTTACACCCCGCACTGCAATGCAGTTCTTCATAGCCGGGACCAGCCTCCAGATGAAAGGCCAAGGGCAAAGAGAGAAAAATGGGACCATAGAAGGCCCATTTCCTGGTTCATCTGGAAACATTTTTCTGGTTTTTCTCTTGGTATTACAGATGTTTAGCCTTTGGGCAGGGCTGAGAGAAAAAAGAGAAAACAGGAAAAGAAAATGGAGACTGTCACACCATGACTGCTGGGGCTCCCTTTCCTGGTTCTTTGGCCAGTAAGGACTGTCAGTAATATTTACTGTCCATGCCAGTTGCATAGTGTGACATAGGCTGCCTCGGGTCAAATTCAGGAGATAGAGGAAAGAAAAAGCAAGAAACTCATAATCATATTATTCATTCTTCAAGTTCTGATTTCCCTCTTCAGCCTGCCTGCTATGGCTTAATTTTCAAGAGTGTTCTGAGAGTTGCGTTTTGCATTTTGTCCAATGTGTTGTATTTTGTAATTGTGATAGAAATAGGCTGTTGTCAGCTTATTGCATCTTGGCCAGTACCAGAAGCTCATGTCTTCTTTTCAATTTTTGTATTTATGATATGCAGATTCCTTTAATGTACAGTACCTTTTTGGGATAATACTAATAATATTTACCCTTGTTTATTTTATAAGTACCGCGCACTAACCGATTGTGCCACTGGAGCTCCGACCCTTGTTTATTTTAATTATTTGTTCGTATGTCAGCCAGAGTCCCCACTAGACTGAGCTCTGCTGGGGCAGAGACTGCCGGAAGCCAATTCTAGCATGTCATAATTTCAAGAGTTTCATCAAAAGGTTGATGGAATTTGGGGACTCAACAAGGGCTGAGTCACATATGTAGTCACCTGTTGGGAATGGCTGATGGCATTTCCCCAAACCTGAAAAGGGATGATTGCTGACTGCCAGACAGCTCAGGGCATCTTAATCCAAATGCTATTGCCTCCTACTGGCCAAACACCTGAACAGCCGTAGGCTAATTCCCCCATTCTGACAATGGACTCTGTACCAAACCCTGACCCTATGAAGTGTATATCTCTGCCTCGACTCAGGACAAGTTGTGTTAATAAAAAGCATGCGATCCTGAGACGAGGAGAACTTAGATCTTAGTTTCCTTTAAACTAGGCTCCTCTGACCCCCAAATGCCTTTCAAAATTATATTTCATCTCTGGACTCCTATTTAATCTACGCACAGCCTTCTCCAGATTTCCTGAACCCTTCTTTTTTTTTTTTTTTTTAAATATATTTTATTGATTTTTTACAGAGAGGAAGAGAGAGAGAGATAGAGAGTTAGAAACATTGATGAGAGAGAAACATCGATCAGCTGCCTCCTGCACATCCCCCACTGGGGAAGTGCCCACAACCCAGGTACATGCCCTTGACCGGAATCGAACCCGGGACCTTTCAGTCCGCAGGCCGATGCTCTATCCACTGAGCCAAACCGGTTTCGGCTCCTGAACCCTTCTTGATGCCGGAACAAGAATCCCGGCAAGAGACCATGTCTTATTCATCTTTGTATATTCACAATGCCTGGCACATTGATGATGCTCAGTAAATTGCTGATAAATGATAAAACAGGCCACACAGAGGCTTCACAGATAACCTAAAAGGAAGCTGGAGTTCTAAAACCAAAAGCAAATGGGAGTCTGCTTGTAGATATACTGTAGCGGCAAATACTAGGTTTGCTAATGCAACTAACCCCAAGCATTAAGTCAGTCTTCTTTGCTGTAGTTAACACACTTCAGAAAAACAGAACGTTTCAGAAACACAGAACGTATTAGAGAAAAAGGGCCAAAGGTAGGAAGGAGTTCCAGGATTTGACCAGTGACTATTCCAGATTTTCTGTGGAAAACTCAGTTTTTAATAGTTTTTAATTGCCTTTATGTCTATCAGACTGTGTTCTCATTTTAGGTTTGGAAAGATGATTTAAATGCATCTGGTCTTTAAGCGTTTTGAACATGTGTCTGTCAGCAAAATGTATTTCAGCTGACATCCCTAACAATGTATTTTAAGAAGTGTACACAAATATAGAAATTAAAACAGGTGAAATAAAATATGTGGACAGACCTCCTAATATTCCTGTTCTCCTTGGAACAGCCTGTACCCTTGCTGTGGTTCATGCACTCCTCTGTGGAGAAAACTAATGGGAGGGTAAAGGCTGTATTCGAACTCTAGTCAGGGGAGAGGCCCTGGACTTTTTCAGAGAACCTCCCCCCGCGCACTCCCAATGTGAAATCAGATGGGAAGCAAGCAGCCTTAGAGTGGGACCCTAGCTAACTCACTGTAGAAGTATTTTAGCAGAGCAGCACTTCTCAGCGTAGGTCCTTAAAGTAACTTCTAGAGACCTCAGGTGTGAAGGCAACAGGCAAGCCTATAGGATCCCATCTCCTGGCTTCCTGTCTGCAACAGGTTCTTAGTCCACTTTGCATTAGTTCTACCTTCACTTTTCTTCCTCACTGAATGCAGCACCCCCTGCCTGTTAATACTCTTTTTTTCAGGGCCAAATCTTCAACCTTTACCTACACTTCTTTGATTTTTCTCATCACTGCATTATGGTGGGGACTTGAAAAGTAAGCTGGTCTCTTCTTTAATAATATGCCTCATAGGAATTCACTAGTATTTAAGACAAAAAAATTGGTATAGCATGATTCAATCTTAACTTAATACATAGATATTCCAATACATTTCATAGAAAAACATCATACAGTATATTTCATTAACATTTTTCCATCCTCCCCAAAGCAAATAGGATATCCTCACCCAACATTATCATAAATGGAGGTCACTGAACATACAATGGATAACTCCTCTTAGGAAAAAAATGGTATTATATCTAGGATGTCAATATATCAGAAGAGAATCCTAACAAGTCAAAAGAACAATAGGGAAATATTTAATATAAAAATAACTGAGTATTAAATTAATTACTAAATCACCATAATTCTTTAGTATAAACTTAAAGATATTTTAAGAAAATATGTGAGAAATTATGTACAAAAGACCATACTTCAAAAGAGGAGATTCATGATACTATGTCCTTCACTTTATTTATTTTTTAAATATGTTTTTATTTATTTTTAGGGAGAGAAAGGGAGAGGGAGAGAGAGATAGAAACATCAAGCCCTGGCTGGTTTGGCTCAGTGGATAGAACATCGGCCTGAGGACCAAAGGGACCCAGTTTCAATTCCGGTCAAGGGCATGTACCTTGGTTGCAGGCTCCTCCCTGGCCCACGCCCTGGTCGGGGCACGTGCAGGAGAGGGGAGGGGGGGCAATCAATATGTTTCTCTCTGTCTTTCCC